TCTTCCGACCCCCCTTGCTACTAAAGCGTACCATAGCACGTAATATTTAAGCCCCCCTTATATAAAATAAAGTCAAATTCAATGTCAAATCCACTACTGGCATTACACAATTCAAAAAAATGTAATTAGGTTTATTTATCAGGGCCGAATTTACATTTTTAGGGGCCCTACGTGACGCCAAGTAGTTAATGACCCCCCTTTCCCTTGTCATACTTTGTTCCAAATCTTTCGACCCCCCCTGTCCCTAAAACGTGCCGTAGCACGTAATATTTGAGACCCCCTTATATAAAATAAAGTAAAATTCAGTGTCAAATCCACTACTGGCATAACCCAATTCATAAAAATGTAATTAGATTTATTTAGCAGGGCCGAATTTACATTTTTAGGGGCCCTATTCAACTAATTTAAATTTTATCCAAAGCCCAACGTGACGCAACGAAGTTAATGACCCCTTCTTCCCCCTGTGACACTTTGTTCCGAATCTTTCGAGCCCCCTTCCCCTACAGCGTGCCGTAGCACGTAATATTTGAGGCCCCCTTATATAAAATAAAGTAAAATCCAATGTCAAATCCATTACTGGCATTACACAATTCAAAAAAATTTAATTAGATTTATTTAGCAGGGCCGAATTTACATTTTTAGGGGCCCTAAGCAAGTCAGAGGGGCCCTAACTTTGAGAATAATATAACCCAACTAACCTAGCCTGTACCAACACTATTGAATGTTATAGCCAATGATTAAGTAATAAACATTGCTATTTAAATTTATTATGTTAAAAAATGTTATTTTTATTTTATCTACAAAAAGCGTACTTTTCCAAATTTGAAATTTTTTAGTCCCTAATTAGTTGTTAAAAATTAATTTTGTCGCTTTTGTGTTTAAAAAATAACATCAGTTCTAAATAACTTCATGTGTACTTGTCAAAGAACAAGGGTAAAAATTTATCAAAAATTTAAAGTAAGGTGGTGTCAAATTTGACATTTTTTATTCGCTAAAAAAATTAATTTGGTCGCTTTTGTTTTACAAAATTACATCAGTTTTAAATAACTTCATGTGAACTTGGCAAAGCACACTTCAAAGTATGGTGGTGTCAAATTTGACATTTTTAGTCGCTAATTAATTGTAAAAAGAGTAATTTTATCAGTTTTGTGTTTAAAAAATTACATCAGTTTTTGATAACTTTAAGTGAACTTGGAAAAGTTCAAGTAAAAAAATGCATCAAAATTCAAAGTATGGTGGTGTCAGATTTGACATTTTTAAGGCGCTAATTAGTCGTAAAAAATTTATTTTGTTGCTTTTAAAAATTACATTAGTTCTTGCTAACTTCATGTGGACTTGGCAAAGCACAAGGGTAAACATTTATCAACATCTGTGGTGGTGCCAAATTTGACATTTGTTAGTCGCTCATTAGTTGTAAAAAAATAATTTTGCTGATTTTGTGTTTAAAAAATTACATTCGTTCTAACTAACTTCATGTGAACTTAGCAAAGCACAGGGGTAAAAATTTATCAACATCTAAAATAAGGTTGTGTAAAATTTTACATTTTTTAGTCGCTAATTAGTTATAAAAAAAGTCATTTCGTCGCTTTTGTGTTTAAAAAATTATATCAGTTGTTGCTAACTTTTAGTAAACTTTAGTGTAAAAATGTATCAAAAGTCAAAATAAGGTGGTGCCAAATTTGACAGTTTTTAGGCGCTAATTTGTCGCTTTTGTGTTTAATAAATTACATTAGTTCTTGCTAACTTCATGTGAACTTTGCAAAGCACAAGGGTAAACATTTATCAACATCTAAAGTAAGTGCCAAATTTGACATTTTTTTAATCCCTAATTAGTTTTTAAAAAAATAATTTTGTCGCTTTTGTGTTTAAAAAATTACCTACATCAGTTCTAACTAACTTCATGTGAACTTAGCAAAGCACAGGGGTAAAAATTTATCAAAATTCCAAGTAAGGTGGTGTCAAATTTCACATTTTTTAGTCGCTAATTAGTTATAAAAAAGTAATTTCGTCGCTTTTGTGTTTGAAAAATTACATCAGTTGTTGCTAACTTTTAGTAAACTTTAGTGTAAAAATGTATCCAAATTCAAAATAAGGTGGTGCCAAATTTTACATTTTTTAGTCGCTAATTGGTTATAAAAAGTGTAATTTCATCGCTTTTGTGTTTAATAAATAACATCAGTTTTTGATAACTTTAAGTAAACTTGGCAAAGTTCAAGTGTAAAAATGCATCAAAATTCAAAGTAAGGTGGTGCCAAATTTGACATTTTTTATTCGCTAATTAGTTTTTAAAAAATTAATTTTGTCGCTTTTGTGTTTAAAAAATTATCTACATCAGTTTTAACTAACTTCATGTGAACTTAGCAAAGCCCAGGGGTAAAAATTTATCAAAATTCAAAGTAAGATGGTGTCAAATTTCACATTTTTTAGTCGCTAATTAGTTATAAAAAAGTCATTTCGTCGCTTTTGTGTTTAAAAAATTACATCTGTTATTGCTAACTTTTAGTAAACTTTAGTGTAAAAATGTATCAAAATTCAAAATAGGGTGGTGCCAAATTTTACATTTTTTAGTCGCTAATTGGTTATAAAAAGTGTAATTTCATCGCTTTTGTGTTTAATAAATAACATCAGTTTTTGATAACTTTAAGTAAACTTGGCAAAGTTCAAGTGTAAAAATGCATCAAAATTCAAAGTAAGGTGGTGCCAAATTTGACATTTTTTATTCGCTAATTAGTTTTTAAAAAATTAATTTTGTCGCTTTTGTGTTTAAAAAATTATCTACATCAGTTTTAACTAACTTCATGTGAACTTAGCAAAGCCCAGGGGTAAAAATTTATCAAAATTCAAAGTAAGATGGTGTCAAATTTCACATTTTTTAGTCGCTAATTAGTTATAAAAAAGTCATTTCGTCGCTTTTGTGTTTAAAAAATTACATCTGTTATTGCTAACTTTTAGTAAACTTTAGTGTAAAAATGTATCAAAATTCAAAATAGGGTGGTGCCAAATTTTACATTTTTTAGTCGCTAATTAGTTATAAAAAAGTAATTTCGTCGCTTTTGTGTTTAAAAAATTAGATCAGTTGTTGCTAAATTTTAGTAAACTTTAGTGTAAAAATGTATCCAAATTCAAAATAAGGTGGTTTCAAATTTTACATTTTTTAGTCGCTAATTAGTTTTAAAAAGTGTGATTTCATCGCTTTTTTGTTTAAAAAAATAACATCAGTTTTTGATAACTTTAAGTGAACTTGGCAAAGTTCAAGTGTAAAAATGTATCCAAATTCAAAATAAGGTGGTTTCAAATTTTACATTTTTTAGTCGCTAATTAGTTTTAAAAAGTGTGATTTCATCGCTTTTTTGTTTAAAAAATAACATCAGTTTTTGATAACTTTAAGTGAACTTGGCAAAGTTTAAGTGTAAAAATGCATCAAAATTCAAAGTATGGTGGTGTCAAATTTGACATTTTTAAGGCGCTAATTAGTCGTAAAAAATTAATTTTGTTGCTTTTGTGTTCAAAAAATTACATTAGTTCTAACTAACTTCATCCGAACTTAGCAAAGCACAAGGGTAAACATTTATCAACATCTAAAGTAAGGTGGTTCCAAATTTGACATTTTTTTAATCGCTAATTAGTTTTTAAAAAATTAATTTGGCGCTTTTGTGTTTAAAAAATTACCTACATCAGTTCTAACCAGGGACCCGGACCGAAATGAAATATCGGTTCCGGTACGGTTTTGGTTCACCCTATTTTCGTTTTAATGGTTCCGATTCCGGTTTCGGTTTCGTGGAGTTATAACGGTTCGGTTCTTTTCGGTTTTAAGCGGTTCCAGTGAGGTTATTTGTTTTACGTAATTTTAATCTATAACCTAATATGTTATATAATGTTATTAGAATGAAAGCAAATAAAGGTTTCGGTTCCGGTCCAACAGATTTTATCAAAAGCGAAAACGGTTCCGGTTCGGGTTTCGGTTCGGAAAAAAAAACCGGTTCCGTTCCGGTTTTCGGTTTTTTTCGGTTTCGGTCCGGGTCCCTGGTTCTAACTAACTTCATGTGCACAGGGGTAAAAATTTATCAAAATTCAAAGTAAGGTGTTGTCAAATTTGACATTTTTTAGTCGCTAATTAGTTATAAAAAATTAATTTCGTCGCTTTTGTGTTTTAAAAATTACATCAGTTGTTGCTAACTTTTAGTAAACTTGTGTTAAAATGTATAAAAATTTAAAATAAGGTGGTGCCAAATTTGACAGTTTTAAGGCGCTAATTATTCGAAAAAATTAATTTTGTCGCTTTTGTGTTTAAAAAATTACATAAGATCTAACTAACTTTATATGAACCTAGCAAAGCACAAGGGTAAGAAATTATCAAAATTAAAAGTGAGGTGGTGCCAAATTTGACATTTTTTAGTCGCTAATTAGTTGTAAAAAATTAATTTTGCCGATTTTGTGTTTAAAAAATTACATTAACTTTATGTGAACTTAGCAAAGCACAAGGGTAAAAGTTTATTAGATTCAAAGTAAGGTCGTTCCAAATTTGACATTTTTTAGGCGCTAATTAGTCGTAAAAATTAATTTTGTCGCTTTTGTGTTTAAAAAATTACATCAGTTCCAACTAACTTTATGTGAACTTAGCAAAGCACAATGCTAAAAATGTATCAACATTTAAAGTAAGGTGGTGCAAAATTTGCCGTTTTTTAATGGCTAATTATTATTATTAGTAAAACAATAAACTAGCACACTTATGCTAAAAAACGTTCAATCTTTCCGAGGTAATTTTTTTCGTGGTACTAAGTTAGCACTTAATGTCTACAGGGTACAACAAGAAAAGTTCGAACGCTGTAATTTTGATACCGACAACTGCGGAAAATGCATGGCTGATGACGTTTGAAAAGTAATTTTCCACCATGCTAAATTTTAGCGATATAAACATTAGTTATTAGAATTTTTGTGGACAATTTAATGATCTTAAAGAATCAACACTCATTAATAAGAAAAATTTTATTTTTCTTATTAGATCTTTCACAATGTGGCGTGGAAATCCGAGAAGGGAAAGCTCATCCAGTTCTGAGGACAGCGAATTAGGGAGGCGTAGGCAAAGTTCCAGTCGCAGTTGCAGTCCCGAAGAAAACGCTGAAGAAACTAAATGTTGCCCAAGAATTGACCACACATATCATGCCTCTGGATATGCTGCCTGCGTGAGCTGCAACAGCGTTTATTGCTCCAAAGCGGTATGCAAGGCCTTGGAGCAGCAGTACAAGCTGCCCGACATGATTTTCAAGCCCAAAATCGACATTCCCAAGCTGACCAGGCAGAGATTCCCGGAGTACATCGCGTCGCAAGATGAGTATTTCGAAAGAAAGGCTCAGCAATATGCCAGGGAGCAGAACTTGTCGAATAGGCCGGAGGACTTTCAGCGTCTTGAACAAGCTCGCGATACACACGATGCCTTTTTGGAGTATGTAAGGGCCAGGATTCCAAAAAACATAATAATAAGTCCTCCAGTCCGTCCTCGTGCAAGGAGCGAGCAACCTCAAGCTGGACCCAGTAGGGCCCCTGATCCTCCACCAGCAAGAAGGGAATCTCAAATCCAAATAATACAATATAAAGTAGTAAGTTTGTTACGTTATAATACACTGTAGGTAGATTTTCGAAACACACAAAAACGACGGGACACAAACTTAATTTACGGTCGTCGAAAAAAACCCTGGCCCTGAAATTGGCAAAATCGTTAAAATCAAGAAAATTTTAAAAATCATATCACCAAATACAATTGATAAACCGTGCTAAAATTAAAATTGAATTTTTATTTTGAGTCAGGAAACACATGGAAAAATTGCCGAAGAATTTCGAAATGGCAAGGGTTTTTTTCGTGTCGAATTTACGTGGGTATGGGTGAATATATTGAGATGTACCTCAAGTGAAAATGATTTTTATTTTTGGTGGTTTTACTGTTAGTCTAGAATGGTGTTTTTGGGAAGCCACCAGGTCTAGTAATAACATAACATAAGTGGTTCTGCACTAATGCAAGAATTTTAAGAAATCATACATTTTGAATATTAGAGCTTCACAGAGGTTAGGATTTCGTGTTTTTTTTAAACATCCCTTTGTATATTTGAAATAAGTTATTGTATCTTTTGACCCTTAATATTTTTTAAAAATACAATTGTACATACACTCACAGGCAAAATAATCGATCCACACAAATTTTCGATGAATTTCAATCGCAAATAACTTTTTCATTTGATTTCGGATTTAAACAAATATTAAAGAATATTGCAGATAAATTAATGGACAATCGCTCACATTTTAAAAAATTACTAAAAAATGGACTTACGTTTATAATATACAGGTTTAAACAAAAAGATGTTTTTTACCATAAGTTTAAGACACTCTGTAGAGTGGCAAAACCCTATATTGTTCTAAATTAAGTTTTATTTATCAAGTCACATCTATTCTTAACAGTTTTGTTTTTGGTTCACCTCAATATATTTATTTTTTGGAAAATATGGATTTTTTAAAAAAGCATTGCAATTTCCAATATTTTTCTGTGTAAAGAACTAAGGTTGCTATGGTCCATCCATATGCTATGGAGAATGACAGTGACAGTTTTGTTGAATCATCCCATACTTGGACATGTCATACACGGCTTTCAAAAGCTATCAAATTGTTTTTTGCAAATTAATGTTTAAATTTTGAGGAGTCTTCTTACTTTAAAAAATGGATATGTCTCCGACTGATGTTGCCAGAGCCATTAATTTAATCCAGGATGGACGGTCACAGTATTACGTGGCAAGTGTTTTAAACGTCACAAGAAGTAAAGTACAAAGGGCAACATCAGTCGGAGACATTTTTAAAAGTAAGAAGACATCTCAAAATTAACACATTAATTTACAAAAAAACAATTTTATAGCTTTTGAAAGCTGTATGTGACATGTCCAAGTATGGGATGATTCAACAAAATTGTTACTGTCATCCTCCATAGGCTATGGATGGACCATAGCAACCTTAGTTCTTCATACAGGAAAAATATTGGAAATTGCAATGTTTTTTTTTAAATCCATATTTTCCACAAAAAGAAATATATCAAGGTGAACCAAAAACAAAACTGTTAAGAATAGATGTGACTTGATAAATAAAACTTAATTTAGAACAATATACGGTTTTGCCACCCTACAGAGTGTCTTAAACTTATAGTAAAAAACATATTTTTGTTTAAACGTATGTAGTAATTTTTAAAATGTGAGCGATTCTCCATTAATGTATCTATAATATTCTTTAATATTTGTTTAAATCCGAAATCAAATAAAAAAGTTATTTGCGATTGAAATGCATCGAAAATTTGTGTGGATCGATTATTTTGCCTGTGAGTGTACATAAAATATTTATAAAAAAATTCTACTTACTAAGAAATTACACTTCACGGTGGATAGGTTTTTAAATAGCAAATTAATGAACTTAAACATCTGCTTATAAATTCTAAGTGACCTTCAGAAATCACATGCATCTATAATGTCGTAAATAGAGGTTTTTGCTTATTTAAAATTATTAAAGCGCCATCTGTTGCATAAAATTTAAAGCAAAAACAGATTCACGGAGGATAGAATCATTGTAAAAAATAATTAATTGCGGTTAAAAATCTGCAACCTGAGCTGTAATATCTACTTAATTATGAAAGATCAAAACACAATAAAAGTGTAGGTCAAACTCATTAAGTTTTATTAAATTTCACGGGGTAACACCATCGGGGGACATTTCGTGAGATTCACCCATATATATATTTTTATCCATCCATATAAATATATGTTCAAGATATATATTTTAAAGTTTTTAAAAACGAATTTATATTTTATTATAATGGTTTAGTAAAAGACACCGAAATGTCCTAAAATGTCTATTTTTAATCAATAATCAACAATGCTAAAAATCGATGAAAAAGTGGCTTAAAATAAAAAACAATAACCTAGAAAAACGCAATACACCACTAAATTCTACGACCGAAAATTAAGCTGACTTTTGCTTTTTTGTGTGTTTTTTGCAGTGTTACATACTTTTTAAATAACAATGTTTTTGTAGCCCTCGCCCCGTTCAAAATTTGTGCCCAAAGCAAAAAAATTGTCGAAATTTGTAGGTATTTTAAATCCTTCTCAAATAAAAATTAACAAGTTTTATTTCTTAGACGACTCAGTCATACCAAACTGATGAAAATGTTACTTTTACTCAGTCTGGCACAATGGTTGGGAGACCTGTGACCAGATCTACAAACCGATCTAGCAGTGACACAAATTTGCTTCAATTGAAGAAATCCGAGAAAAAAGACATAAAGAAAAAACTAATACAAAAACCGATAAGAGTACGTAGCAAAATTTCTGGAAAACAATGAACTAATTATGTTATTTAATTTTAGTCTGTTTCAAATACATCCATCGAATACCAAAGTGAACCACTACCAAAAGTGGAAAAGAAGAAGTCGAAAAAAGCGCTTACTCTGACAGTTTCTGCTACAGAAACTCAGATAGTTGGGTTAGAGAATGAAGATGAACCTATGCCGGGAACATCCACACAAGAAGGACCAAGAAGAAGCCGCAGATCTAGAATCCCAGTCAGAAGAGGTTTTATTTATATATCCTGTAAATAATTAATGTAATCTTAATGTTTTGTTTTTTATTTGCAGTATCTGAAGGTCCTCCACAAGAAAAACCAAAGAAAACCGGCAAACCCAAAATCCAAGTCAACCCAACCCAACTCCGTAAGTCAGAAGATGTAGCAACATTTGTATATCCAGTAATCTTAATGTTTTTGTTTTTTATTCACAGAATCTGAAGGTGCTTCACAGGAAAAACCAAAGAAAACCGACAAACCCAAAACCCAAGGCAAAAAAGGAAGCAACCCAACCCAATCCCGTAAGAATTAAATGTTATGTTCTTGTTTATGTGCATTTGTGCAATATTTAGTTTAATTATTAGATTAAAATAGTATAGCAATATTTTATGCAATCCCAGTCAGAAGAGGTAGGAACATTTATATATCCCGTTATCTTAATGTTTTTGTTTTTTATTCACAGCATCTGAAGGTGCTTCGCAGGAAAAACCAAAGAAAACCGACAAACCCAAAACCCAAGGCAAAAAAGGAAGCAACCCAACCCAACCCCGTAAGAATTGTTTATGTAAATTTTTGCAATATTTAGTTTATTTATTAGATTACAATTTTTTAGTAATATTTCATGTAATCCCAGTCAGAAGAGGTAGGAACATTTATACAGCCAGTTCAGAGTAAAACCGAATATAGGGAAACGTATCGGGCGTCACAGTAGCTTGTGTGATAAACGACATGACGAAAGGTCGAGCAGGTAAGACGACCTTAAAAATTAAATCATTCGCTTAGCTACTGTGTCGCGCTTTGGAGGAAGGCGAGGCCACGCCCGACACGTTTCCCTATATTCGGTTTTACCCTGAACGGGCTGTATATCCAGTAATCTTAATGTTTTTGTTTTTTATTCACAGCATCTGAAGGTGCTTCACAGGAAAAACCAAAGAAAACCGACAAACCCAAAACCCAAGGCAAAAAAGGAGGCAACCCAACCCAACCCCGTAAGAAGTAAATGTTATGTTATTGTTTATGTGCAGTTGTGCAATATTTAGTTTAGTTATTAGATTAAAATAGTTCTGTCCCAACTATTTCAGTTAAGCAGTATTCTTATCAATAAAACTATGTTTAAAATAGGAAGCAACCCAACCCCGTTGGAAGTAAATATTATGTTCTTGTTTATGTGCACTTGTGCAATATTTAGTTTAGTTATTATATTAAAATAGTTTTGTCCTAACTATTTCAGTTAAGCAGTATTCTTATCAATAAAACTATGTTTTAAAATAGGAAGCAACCCAACCCCGTTGGAAGTAAATATTATGTTCTTGTTTATGTGCACTTGTGCAATATTTAGTTTAGTTATTAGATTAAAATAATATTGTCCTAACTATTTAATGTAAGCCGTATTCTTATTAATAAAACTATGTTCTAAAAATTGTGCCTATTTTATCGCAGATTTCCATTCATATATATTGCAATATTGACATAAAAAATACCTTTTAATGTACAAAAAACATAGTCAAATTGGTAAGTACCGTGGTCATTAACGTTTTGTGTTATTTTGTATTTATTATTAGACCCAAAACAAATTATTAAAATTAATGGCTTTTTTTGTTATAATGGACAGCAAACAATATGGCGATTACAGGATGGCTATATAAGTAACCAATATAAATTAACCTTTAAACCATTTGGTTAGTTTAATGTGTTTAATTTAACTTTATTTACCTATTGGAAATTTACAACTTTTTGGTTTTGGTTTTAATTTGGTTAATATAACACATTATAGTTCGTAATTAGTTAAATTAAACTAACTTGTTATTTTTAAAACCAAAAAGTTCTATCAAAAATCAAACTAAACCAAAATATGTCTAAAAATATAACTACACTCACAGGCAAAATAATCGATTTAAACAAATATTAAAGAATATTGTAGATACATTAATGGAGAATCGCTTACATTTTAAAAATTACTAAAAAATACACGTACGTTTATAATATACAGGTTTAAACAAAAATATATTTTTTAACATAAGTTTAAGACACTCTGTAGAGTGGCAAAACCGTATATTGTTCTAATTAGAACAATATACGGTTTTGCCACTCTACAGAGTGTCTTAATTTAAATTAAGTTTTATTTATCAAGTCACATCTATTTTTAACTGTTTTGTTTTTTTGGAAAATATGGATTTTTTTTTAAAAACATTGCAATTTCCAATATTTTTCCTGTATGAAGAACTAAGGTTGCTATGGTCCATCCATAGCCTACGGAGGATGACAGTGACAGTTTTGTTGAATCATCCCATACTTGGACTTGTCATATACAGCTTTCAAAAACTATCAAATTGTTTTTTGTAAATTAATGTGTTAATTTTGAGGTGTCTTCTTACTTTTAAAATGTCTCCGACTGATGTTGCCCTTTGTACTTTACTTCTTGTGACGTTTAAAACACTTGCCACGTAATACTGTGACCGTCCATCCTGGATTAAATTAATGACTCTGGCAACATCAGTCGGGGACATATCCATTTTTTAAAGTAAGAAGACACCTCAAAATTTAAACATTAAATTGCCATAAACAATTTGATAGCTTTTGAAAGCCGTGTATGACATGTCCAAGTATGGGATGATTCAACAAAACTGTCACTGTCATCCTCCGTAGGCTATGGATGGATTTAATTAACTTAATTTAGAACAATATACGGTTTTGCCACCTTACAGAGTGTCTTAAACTTATGGTAAAAAAATATTTTTGTTTAAACCTGTATATTATAAACGTACATCTATTTTTTAGTAATTTTTTAAAATGTGAGCAATTGTCCATTAATTTATCTACAATATTCTTTAATATTCGTTTAAATCCGACATCAAATAAAAAAGTTATCGATTATTTTGCCTGAGTGTAGTCTTAACCATTTTCAAATGTTAAAATTAAAAGTTAATATAAAGTTATATAACTTTCAAAATAATCTACTCTTTGACTTATGAGTAATATTACCAAAAGGTTTATTTTATTAGTTAAATTTTACTAAAAAATATTATTTAAACTCATGAAAGAAATAAAACACACTAGAGTTTACAAAAAGCAATAAGTATACGACGAAAAAAAAGTTTGGGGCCATAGAGGACAAGACCAAAAAAATGCAACACTGTATTCTATCACTAAGTATTACTTTTTAATGTTGTTTTACAAGTACCTACTTAGAGATACTTTTAAATCACCTTGTATAAAAAATGTATTTTGTTAGGTACTTGAAATGATGTTAATAAATAACCTTATTTTAAAACAACTTAAGAAATAAACCATAATTTGTCAACTTAACCTACAAAAGTTAAATTTGACATTTAGTATTTGACGTTTCAATGCCAACCTAATAAACCGATTAAATATTTATTTTAATTTGTATAAATTACACAATAATGTTTAAATTTATTACAATAAAACAGTAATTAAAACAATTTATAAGGATTATTTCATAATTTATTCCTTGTATCATGACAATATTTAAATGTGATTGGTCAATTTTTATAAACTCAAACATCATTCATAAAATCGGTATTTATAAATAAAATTTACACCTGAAAATGAATTTTAAGGGTTTGAAAATTATTATTTCGATTTTTACATCTGTTTTATATCATTGTTCTTTTTAAACTTTAGAAGTTAACCTTTATAATCTGTGGAAGTTAATATGAGGGTGGGGCGGACTTGCGTAGATCGAAATTGGCGCGGAATCATCATTCTCGTTATTCCGTTTGTTGTGTTCGCTCTTGCTAGTCGTGTTCGTGCATTTTTGGTGAAAATGGAGAGAAAAGTGGCGCCGGAAAACCCAGATAACCTTCCGATCGACGACCAGGGCTCAATTACATCGGAGGATGAGGCATTGAAGGACGAATACCAGGGTAAGTCGCTTAAATCTCGTCGTAAAATAGATTTTAAAATGGCGTCCCTTTCAGCGGCCTTTTCCGCGTACAAGAACTCGCCACCCGAGTTGTTGCGAGATCAAGGGTCAGACAGTCCGGAGGCTTCTGCAAGTGGATACGTTTTGCCGGGAGCAGTTTTACCGTTCCCACGCGAGGACCTGGTGAAGCTGCCTTTAGACGACAAGACAATCGAAGACACAATCTCCTCCGCCAGCTCGTCGCCGTTAAAGCAACGCTTTACGCGAGGTGGCAAGCCGGTGCTCACGCCGTTTGGCGCAGTTTCTTCCCCCAGGATTCCAAGGACACCGCACAATTCACCGGTGGACAAGGAAAACCCTGTGTCGGCCAACACGGGCCCAAGCACACCTGTAAGAAGGCGAACGGTAAAGAGCAAAGTTTGTTTTTAATTTAATTCGGTTTACACTTACGGTCCAGGGTTTAGTAAACTGTGTTCGTTTACGGTTCAGTCAACCTTAGGTAGATTTAGCATTTAGATTTAGTTAACATGCCAACATCTTTGGCGAAAAATACTTTAAGCAGTTTGTGTTTTGTTTGTGTTGAATTACGTAATTAACTTATTTGTTTCTTTAGATCAGGGACACTCCTTATCCTGGCGCGTCGAGGGAAACCGGATTGACTCCGCGTACGCCAGCTGTGGAACGTCTTAAGCGCAAACTGGAAGGACGAAGGATCCTACCCATGACCCCAGTAAGTCTAATATTAAACTTTCGATTGCAAACATCTAAATGTAGCGTTTTTAAACTTCAGATTTCTTGTGCGAGCGCAAGCGCAAGTACAGGAAGTTTTATGGACGCTGCTACAGTTAAAAGACTTAACGAACCAGCCGTCAAAACTGAACATGAAGACATCAAGAAAGAAGAAAAGCCAGAGGAAACAGAAGTCGTTACACATCACGATGAGCCTGTTGACAGCTTTGAAAAAACCGTCAGCAAGGTGAAGATTGAAGATGAAGTCCCTGCCAAGGAGGTACAGGAAGAGATTCCTGATGAACAAGAAGAAGTAGGTGATGAAGAATATCCTGCCGACGAGCAAGATTTGGTGGTCAAGGAAGAGGAGGGGCAGAAAGAACCAAAAATAAAAGAAGACCCCCAGGTTAAAGACGACAACGAGTAGTCGCCAAGTTTATTATTGGTTACCGTTTTTTAATGTTTATTCACATTACTTGTATACTGCCGTATAAAGGATAAACGTCTTATTTACAACATTAGTAATGAGTAATCACTACCTAATGATGTAGATACAATCTACTAGATAGGACGTTTATCCTTGGCAAAGTATTTTTAAGTATTTTTTTATTTGTAACCAATAATTTATAAGTTTTAATACTGTTTTAACTCAAAAACATGTACTAGTATAACTAAAAAGTTTTGTAACTTTTCATAAATAAAGGATTTAAAATAAGTATTGTTTAAATATATTAGAAAGATCCAAAATATTATAAATAAATATAATAATATAATTATAATTTAAGGTAAGTACAATCTTGCATTTTCTCGAAGAGGTTAAGCGTCTTCAACGCATCTAAACCAGAAAAACAAAACTGCCAAACAAGAAAAAAAAATTCCCACAGAAAAGCTAACGTAATTATTCATGATAGCCGTGATACGCAATAGACGTTAACATAAACAAAAAGTCACGTGCAGTCACCTAGACAACAACAATAAACATGCAAACACAACAATATAACCACCGGCATAGGTCTTTACTGAAATAAAGAAAAGGCTTACACACAGTGGGACAAATAATTTGTATCTACTTACTTAACTTTACAGATAACTTGCGCATAAATCGTTTCAAACAAAAAAAAAATTGATAACTTTCGGCAGTCACATTGCCGACTACCAAAAAATATCTAACGATGGTTCTCGACCCTAGACTGAAGAAATGGTTTCGCACAGTGGGGCAAACAATTGCGGACTGCAGTGTCCGAACTTTCAGCACAGTAATTTTCAACAGACACGGAAGCAAACAAACAGATAGTACTCAAGATCATCAAGGATAGATCTAAGCAGCGAACCCTATTCATGAACTCCAATGGGGGTAGTACTAAATCCCTGGTTTAAGGGGATTTTAAAGTAAGATCTAGTATTTTTTAAGGCAAATCAGGATCTGCCTTTAAAATTTTTCTCAGGTTTTGGGAGAAAATTTCAACAAACAAAATCTTTTGAGTGGATGTTTGATTTTTACATCTGGAGGCTACATAAAAAATGCTACAAACCTGCAGGCGAATTAATTTTACAAAAAAAATATAACTCAAGGTATTTCCAGGATTTCAATTTTGCTATTTATCCCATGTTATAAAGTTATGAAGAATGAAGGTTCGAAAATATTCTATGAATATGCACTATTCCTAGGA